TGATGGTTTGACACTTCAGAGTATAGGTGGACATGGAGGTGTGTTGACAATAAGCTGCAGAGTCACTTGGGACCTTATCAGAAGGCAGTGGGGGCAGCCACAGAACATACAACCTAGTTCATACTGGCACTGATTGGGGGCTCTGCCTAGGCTAGAGGTGTCCAACCTTATTTCCAGGCAAGATGGTTTGGTTCTCAGGAGATAGAGGATTAGGGTAAGTGGTGACTTCTAACTTAAAGGCTCATACAAGGATATGATTCCTTATTTCCCTGTTCTTGTTTAACAAAGGGCTGAGAGTGAGGGTCTTCACCAGGGACCTAAAAAGTCTAATGTACCAGGCTTCAGATGCTCAGCAGGGAAGCCTCAGAGAGTATTGGCTTCTCATACAGGAGGCCTTCTTAGAACTGAGGACCCTACAACCATATTTCATCAGGGCTTCCTTGTCTGGACAAATGATAGAGCCCAGGCTTGGGGATCCACTTAGCTTCTGAGAGATGCAGTTGCCCATTGTTTTTGAAATCTGTACCTCCCCAATGGAGAGGGTGTAGGTCCAGCTCTCAGCCTCAAGCCTATGAAGAGCCCTTTCTTATCAATGGGACTTTGCATCAAAGGTAATGAGAGCTCACCTTTCTTCATCCACCTGGTGGTGGTTTCACTATCTGCATTTCAGGGTTATCAGCTTCATCTACCAGTCTTGTGTCATCTGTCAATATACCCACGAAAAGTATGAACTTTAATTACTGTCTTCTGAATAGCCCATATTTTAAATACTTCTACACTGGAAAAACTAGTATCCACTGTGGTCAGAGAAACTGAGTTCTAGTCAAGGAGATGCTTTTGCCAAAAGAAAACAGTTTTTTAAATATACGTAATAAATGTATTTTAACCTAAAACTCCATAAAAGTGATGATTCCAAAACTACCAGCAATGTTTTTACATTTGTAAGTAACAATATCCAATTGAGAATGTCCCCTTCAAAAAAGTGAAAAACAACAATTTTGGTAATTTGCCAGCAGCCTCGGCCATGAATTTGGAGAACTCTCGGCATAAATGAAACCAAAGAAAGTTGCAGTAAGTGGGGTGCTAGATAATGTTTATTGCTTGTAAATTTCTAGTTCAAATACCACAGTTTAGAAAACAACTTGCGTCTAAATTTTTGCTAATATTCAGTGACTTTTTTTTTTTTGGCAGTACTGGGGTTTAAAACTCAGGGCCTTACACTTAGTAGGCAGTCTACCACTTGAACTACTGTACCAGCCCTCTTCAGTGACTTTTTTCAAAAAATAAGCATTCACTGTTAAAACATATTTTTCTCTTCCAGTTATAATTTTATGCTGTTTTGTATATCTCAGATAATGATTTGTGAGCGTATGGCAAATAATAGTCAAGTAGCAAATCTTTTTCTCATTGTAGTGAGAGGATGCTATTGAGTCAATATGGTATTTAGCCCAGGGAAAAAGAAAAAGATAATGATAGGGGTGGTAATCACTGGACTGCATGTAACCAGGCTCAGCCACAATTTTAGCCCAGCCGTCTGGAAGAACATATCTCTCTGTCTGTCCAGATAAGACCAATAAGAGGCAAAAGGTGTGTGGGGGGAACTATGTATTCTTAAAAAAACCTTAGTCACTCAAGTCAAACTACCAAGGGTTCTAGCCACCTATTAGCTGAGCAACCCTTGGGCAAGCCACTTACTGATCTGTAAACTGGAGACAATAAGTTTGTTGTGAGAATCAAATGAGCTGACATATCATTTGGCACAGTACGTGACACATAGTAAGTGCTCAATAAATGTGAGCTAGAGTAGAAGGGTACAAGAGAAACCTTAGCTCCAAGGGTCAGTTCAGAATAGCGTATCTCTGTGAGCAGAGAACAAAGTAAGCTATTGTGCCCAGTAGTGTATTAAGGAGATAAAGTGATGATGGGGTCAGAGATTAACTGTGCTTGATTTACCACTATTATTGTGCTGGCATTAATGTGCCTTCATTCAAATCCCAATGATTTAGGTCCACAATTAGTTAATTTTGGCTTTTCAAAGTTTACATTCTGGGACTTGGTGTCTTGGCTCAAATGGTAGAGCACTTGCCTAGCAAGTACAAGGCCCTGAGTTCAAATTTCAGTACCACCACTTTGCTTCTCAGTTGTAAGAATTCTCATTCACATCTTTGAATATCTTGTTTTACACAATCCTTAGGTGTGATGGTTCCAGAAAAACTGAAAACGCCATGGGGGTACACCTCTCTCTGAGCCTGAAGAACCCAGCTGAAACTTATACTCAGCCCTCATCAGCCTTGCTCCACACCCCCACTGCCAGTATTCCACCAGCTGCCAAAACAGTAGACATTACTGCCTCTTCAAGAGACAAGTCACATTCCATGATAAGAGTCTACTTGCTTGCCAGGCTTGACATGAAGAACACCTGCAGATATCAGGACAGACTTAATTCTGGCTATGTCTCAAGAAAAAGCAAGTGTTAACAAACAGCACAAACATTTACTCCAGGAAATCAGGCCTGCCCTCAGATGGGTTTGTGTGTTCTTGGGGCATGTGAACTCAGAATAATAAATGTAAAACTTCCAGAGCACTGGGTTTACCTGCAGATTTAGGAGTGGAATTAAATCAGCAAAGTGCAAATCTAGAATTTTACTTCCCCCCCAATTTATTTTTACATTAAAACAAATGTGTTATAGGGTAAAGTGCAGAATTTACATTAATTTAAAATATTAGTCTTCAAAAAATGTATTTGTAGATGGCCAATTTGGGCAAACCCCTAGACCACTAGGTTTTTTCATGCTCACCTTTCTGTGCTCTTTAAAAACCAAAGTCAGATGTAAAAGTCATCAGTTGTTTTAAAAAAATGGTGCTCTAATGAAATTAAGCTCATTTCTGCACAGAGTCCTATCCAAGCCTAAAAATCACATAAACTCATGTCTCTGGAGAATTTGGGAATTATGACTCTGAAGATCACTCTTAATCAAATGGAAGTTTAAGAGGCATCCATCCTTAGTTAGGTAACCAACCAATTTAAATATTTTCTGAAATTACATTTTCATGTAACATTTACAATGTTCTACTCTGTATTACAGGATCTTATCAACAGTATCATTTCAACTATATTCCTTTTAGTAGTCGCTGTCTTGACAATTCAAGAAAAGGGAAGGAGGCAGTTGTACTACATTGGAGGGGTGAGTAGAGGCCTCCATAACTTCATTTAAGATCAAGACTCTGAAAAGAAAACTGGCAGACCATCATTATGTCATTAGCAGAACAAAATACCTACCACCATTCCTTCTGTTTTTGTAGTGACTCTCTCAGATAATGTGAAGTTGCACAAACTCTAAGCTCATGAAAATCAGTCCTAATATGCATTCTCCAAATAAGCACAAAAAAACAAGTGTCTGTGGAACCCCTTTTGAGAATGTCTGAAGTATTGGAACAAGATATTTTTGCCTATAAGTAGAACTTTGACTTTTCTGGAGAAGCAAATTGTGTTTTAAAGACAGATGAGGGGTGGGAAGTACACAAGAAATGGCAGATCAGATGCTTGGGAGATGGAAAGAGTGGGGAGATGGAACTTCAGTTCAAGAAGGTAAACAATTCGGACAAAAATTAATCCAGGAAAAGTTTCAGTTTTCTGAATTCATTCCATAATGGGTAAATATTTTAAGACCCACTGAATTGTGCCACACTCAGTACTGGAAATAGAGCCCCCTTCCTCTGGGAGAGCTCACACATTAGGTAGGGTAAGACCTACTCAGGAAAAGTTCATTAAGCAGCCAAGAGAAACATCCAAGGTTAGAATATCGGGTACTCCCACTCTTGTTCCCATCCCCAGATCTCCATCCATTCTTGCCTGAGTGGCCTCAGCCCATCCCCAGGTCTTCCTGCCTCCAGCTGGTTCACTTTCTTGCCACTACAAATGAGTTCTCTAAGTCTCAGATCTGTCCTCTTCCCTTGACAAGAGTCCTTGCACCTCCCCATCCTGAACTCTGCCTGGCCTCTCAGCAGCTGCAGAGCTCCTCAGACTCCAGTATCTGGGGTTCTCCTCCTTCCGGTTGTGCCCCTTCCTGCCCCTCCTAACACACAGCCTAATAGAAGCCTTCTCAGGACCCCAGCCCTGCCACAAGCCTGTTAGGGCCAGAGCACATCCCTGAGCCTTGGCATCAGGTAAAGTACCTTCCTGGCAGCAAACCACACCATTTCCAAAATCCATGGAGGGATCGGAGGGGACCAGGACTGGGATGAGGATGAGAGGTTGCACTGAGTTGCAAAATAACCCAGTCTTTGCTTCCTACCTTGTATCTGCCTTGTATCTGACAGTCCCTGTGCGTTGGAGCGGCAATCCTGTGTTGCATCGATGCGTTGCTGGTCATCAAGGTGATTAGGAATAAAATGAAAGAAGAGCAGGCCGCCAAGGAGACGCTCCAGTCCAGCTTGCACTGAAGCCAGCTGGTCCTCCCCAGCACCCAATCTCTCTCTCCATGCCACCCATCGCTGAGCTCTCTCTGTCACCCAACCCGGTCTGCGTATGACCATAAAATCAGGGCTGCTAAATCGGCAAATACTTCAGCTTCCGCGTGTCGTTTGCCTTGTGTAAAAGTCGCGTTACATCTCCATGCGCGTGGCAGTGAGTCCGAGACGCGCTGCGGCGGGGAGGGACGTGACCCCAGGGTTCCTGTCAATCCAGCCCCCCAAGGCGGGAGCGCCGAAAAACGACCTGAGCTACTTTGGAAGGCCTCGCTAGGACCACGAGGGGAGTTCTGCATCGGGAGGCTTCTGAGTTGGAGGGTGGGCGCATCTGGACGCAGCCAGGTAAATGTCACCGGCTCTGGTCAGGAGGCGAGGGGGCACGCGGAAGGGAACAGACGTTGACATTCGCTGGTCCTGGCGGTTTGACAAGCGTGGCCTCTGAACAGGTCGGTAGACATCAGGCTGTCTCCTAAGTCAGGCCTGCAAGAGAAGCTGGGAAGGCCGTGAGAAGCTGAGGACTCCAACCAGCCATGCCTCCCAAGCCCGCAGCCAAGAAAGAACAGCCAAAGGATAGCGTGGGCACAAGGAAGGGGTACGAACGCTACGTGTGGGAATTAAAAGACAACAATAAAGAATTCTGGATGCTGGGGCATGCCCCGGTCAAGATCGTTAGTCTGGTGAGTTGGACCGGTATCCCTGCATGGGAAGGGAGGGGGTCCTAAGACCAGGAAGGGTGGAGGGGCGGGCTCCAGGGGTCTCCAGAGGGGCTCAGGCGGATATTTCCTTGCAGATCTGCCTGCTGCTTGATATGTACCTGTTCTCCCTCTTTCCGGTGCACCCCATCTTGACGCTCATCCTCACCATGGAGTTGTCCATCCTCCTCTTCTTCATTGTCATCCACACCCTCGCCATTAACAGATATCTGGTCTTCATCCTGTGGCCCATTACTGTAAGTGAGGGTGGTGGGGAGGGCCTGGTCTGTGTGCCCTTCGCGTGTGTAGCTTGGCACCTGGAAAGTGACGGAGCAGAAAGCATTTCACCTCCTCTACTTGTATGCAGGGTCTGCTGGGCAGGGGAGGGGAAGTTAGGCAGAAAATGCTCCAAACATCTAGTTGTGTGTGGTGGGAAGTGGTCAAAAGAGAAGGGCCTGAGTCTTGGCTCTTCTTGCAGGAAGGAAGCTCCAACTGCTCCTAGCAGTTCAGCAGCACACACCTGATGGGGGAGATCATTCCAGAATTCAAAGAAGAAAATCAGTCTCCCCATAAATTAGTGAGATACAATGAAAGAAACTTTAATTACTTCTAATGCTGACTGAGGTCTCCGATGAAGAATAAATCGTCTTCATAAAGAATGTTCAGCCCCAAGCAGTCATCCAGTGGAATGAAACAGAACTAAGCAACTTACCCAACCACTGTTAACCTCTGTTTCATGGGACAATAATTATGCCTTGTGGGATTAACTAAATATAAAGTGCTTGATGGTGTGCCTTACGCCTCATGGATGTGAATCCTTGCCCATCCCCTCGTTAAGTGCAAATTCACAGCCCTGCCTTCAGAGTTCTCTGCTCTCTATTTCACTCACTTTACACATGAGCAAATGAACCCAAAATAACTAAGTAACTTGCTCCCAGGTCACTCAGCTAATAAGTGGTCTGAAAAAAATATTCAAACCTAGCTTTGTCTGAGTCTCTTAGCTACACCTGTCCTGCTTTCTTATTTAAAAACAAACAAACAAACAATTAGTGGGCTGAGGGCATGGCTCAAGCAGAGGAAGCATGAGGACCTGAGTTCAAAGCCCAGTACTGCCAAAGAAAAGGCCATTAGTATCTAGGGACCCATGGTCTCAAGGGGATAGGAGAGGAAACAGAAGAAGAGGACCAAATGAAGACTCTTGGAAAAGAGGGGACAAGGTAAAGGAACAGGCAGGGGACAAGTTCCCAGTCAAGGAAGCTGAGAGGATAGTATTAGTTCCAGCAAGATGAAAAACCACTGAACACTGAAAGTCCTCCTCCTGTATTTACCTAAAAATATTGGTGGAAATTTAATCAATATTTATTTAACTGAATGACTGAGTTGGCAAAAAAGGAAGGAAGGAAAGAGAGAGGGAGGGAGAGAGGAAAGAAAGAGAGAGAGAGAGAGAAAGGAAGGAAGGAAGGAAGGAAGAAAGAAAGAAAAATGCCAGAATGACAAGAGCAGTGATCATGCAAGCTATGAAGTATGAAGTGTGGATGGGAGGCCTGGGAAGTATTGTTTCAAAAAGCTGGACTGTGGGTTTGCATACATTCTCAAACCAGGAAATGAGGCCTTGAGCCCAAACAAGTGGGAGTTTAGAACTGAGACCCTTGCAGCAAGTTAGCACCCTGGGAAGCCTGTACCCTTAAGGAAAAGATAGAGAAGACATACACCTTCCATAAACATAGAGGAGCCAGACATGGTCATCTCTACCTGTGCTTTTTTTTTTTTTTTTGGGGGGGGGTGGGCGGGCGAGGTGAGAAATATAAACCTTAAGCCTGCCCTTTGCACAGATTTGGAACTTCAATTTTTGCTAACCTTCATGCCTCAAAGTAAGCATAAAAATTGGTATCTGATGGTATCTGGTGATCTCCTTGGGACTTCTGACAGAAACAAATGCAAAACCACAAATAAAGCATGAAGAGATTCTCATTGGGGAGCAGGGGAGCTTGTCAAAAATGAACTAATAATTTATAACTATGATATGTTTTATTTATAAAATATCCCTAAGACAAAGAATCAAACAGGCTGGGCATGATGACACATGCCTGTAACCTCAGCACTTTGGAGACTGAGACAGGAGGATAGTGAGTGGCATGGGCTACATAGAAAGACCCATCTTAAGAAAAATAGGAAAGAAAGAAATCAGCAAACATAACAAATGGAAGGATTGGATCAGAACCCTGACAATGTGACAACAAAAGTGTTTTTAACTGATCAGATATAAAGAAGAGCCCTAAGAATAAGACACCATGAGGACAGAATAGACATATTTTTTAAGTGCCAAGTACAATGTATAGAATGTATAGAATAGAAAACATAGTTATTGAAATAAAAATGTCAACAGATGAGTTTAAAAGTGGATCAGATACAGCTGAAGAGAGAAATAGTAAACTGAAAGATGTGGAGAAATTATGCAGAATATAAAGACAGAAAATAAGAAAGAGACTGAGACATAGAATGAAGAATAAGGATGTCCATCAAGAGTTACCAGGAGAAGGATAAGTATTAAAAGTGACAAAGAACTTTCTAGATTTAATGAAAGTAATGTCACTGAATATGACAAAGTAAGGAACTCAAAAAGTTTTTACCTCCTACAGCAATGAGTAAACTGTCAACAACTTTTTCAGAACTCTGGAATCTAATTTTAAAAAAAAAGTACATCTAGCAAAATGCTTAATGAAGAAAGAAACTGCTGAATTGTGCTAAGAGAGCATTGTGCTTTAACTTACTCACCATGCAGCTAAATAATTCAAATTCAAATCCATACACTTAGGAAAGAAGATAGAAAAATAAATCAAGTGCCTACATGAAGAAAATACCAAAATAAAACAAGGGAGTTGAGAAAGAAATGCCAAAGATAAGAGCCAAAATTGATGAAAGAGCAAACAAAGATCTATAGTAAAGATTAGCAAAACCAAAAATTTAGTTCCTTGAAAAGACTAATAGATAAACCTCAAAAAAAAAAAAAGGAAATAAGGACAAAGAAAAATAGTGCAAAAATCAAGACAAGCTTTTGAAGATCACAAGAGAAGATGCAAAGTTCTATGTTAATTGAAAAGTTCAGATAAAATTGTTTATTTCCTAGAATAATATAATAATGAAAATTGACTAGAAAATAAATAGAAGAAGAATTTATGAAAACATACGAGGACATGGTGTGGACCGTGGCTCCAGCTCGTTTCCAACTGTTGTACCCCAATACCTGATTCATTCCTTTATTGAATAATACCTCTTTCCCCACTCATTTGAAATGGCATTTTTGTTAAATGCTAAAACTCTACGTATAATTTTGAATTCTAGACTTTATATTTATTTTTGCTGGTCTGTTTTTGTTTTTCTTGGCATTCTCATGGTTCCTTTAAATGCCCCTGGCTATTCCCAGAGGGTGATTTTTGTCTCTGCCCCACTTCTTTTTTTTCCTTTACTTTTTTTTTAGTTTTAGCACCATGTAAGTTATGCTTCCAACCTGTATGGTTTGTAAGCTTGCCCCGAAATAAGACCACTGGTGAGCTACCACAAAAGTATAAATGAATATTTTAATACCACAATCTTTCCTGTTGCCTGTGGAGTCTCTGCTGAAATGAATCAGTATTCTTGCTCTAGAAAGAGACAGAAAAATGAGAGCATGCCCAAAAGACTGTTACTCCAGAGGCACCTGCACATCCATGTTTATTGCGGCACTATTCACAATAGCCAAGTTATGGAAACAGCCAAGATGCCCCAGCACTGATGAATGGATTAAGAAAATGTGGTATCTATACACAATGGAATTTTATGCAGCCATGAAGAAGAACGAAATGTTATCATTCGCTGGTAAATGGATGGAATTGGAGAACATCATTCTGAGTGAGGTTAGCCTGGCTCAAAAAACCAAAAATCGTATGTTCTTCCTCATATGTGGACATTAGATCAAGGGCAAACACAACAAGGGGATTGGACTATGAGCACATGATAAAAGCGAGAGCACACAAGGGAGGGGTGAGGATAGGTAAGACACCTAAAAAACTAGCTAGCATGTGCCCTTAACGCAGAGAAACTAAAGCAGATACCTTAAAGCAACTGAGGCCAATAGGAAAAGGGGAACAGGAACTAGAGAAAAGGTGAGATCAAAAAGAATTAACCTAGAAGGCAACACACACGCACAGGAAATCAATGTGAGTCAATGCCCTGTATAGCTATCCTTATCTCAACCAGCAAAACCCCTTGTTCCTTCCTATTATTGCTTATACTCTCTCTACAACAAAATTAGAAATAAGGGCAAAATAGTTTCTGCTGGGTATTGAGGGAGGGGGAGAGGGAGGGAGCGGAGTGGGTGGTAAGGGAGGGGGTGGGGGCAGGGGGGAGAAATGACCCAAGCCTTGTATGCACATATGAATAATAAAAGAAAAATGAAAAAAAAAAATGAGAGCATGATGTTTGCCAGGATGCTGTGGGTTTGTTTTGATGTGTAACAAGTTGATTCAGGACACTGAAATTTCATTCTGTTATGTTTTGGTTAGGGTCTTTTTTTTTTTCTTCCTCCTCTTTTGTAAAGGCAGTTAACTAGTCCCAGAAAGGATCCTTTGGTTATATAAAATTTTGTTTTATGAAATGTCATGGTTCCATTCATATTTTTGTCTTGTTCTTCCAATTGATACATACAACTTTCCCAGGTCTCTTGTATTTGGAAGGCTGGAAGGGCCCAGACTTTGAAATAGTGTCTTGGTTTCACTGGGGTTTTTTTTGTTTGTTTGTTTGTTTGTTTTTTTAACTAAAGCTATATAAAGCTTGTGGATGTACTGTCTGATGGTGCTTTGATCTTAAAATCAGACATTAGAAGGAGAGATAGAGAGAGAGGGAGGGAGAGAAAGAGAGAGAGAATGTATTCCATTAAAATGAAAACTTTACAACAGAAAACATTATAAACAAAACTTTTGCAATAAACCAATAGGAACATGGGACGGGGATATGAATAGGCAGGAAGCCCAAATGCCTAAAACATGTTTTTAAAAATGTTTATCTTCATTAGTAAACAGAGACGTGCAAATTAAAATAACACAGTGAGGCACCATTTTAACTCACCAGATTGGCAAAAATGTTCAGAAGCTGGATGATCCTCGGTACCCATCCTAGGTGTGGGCAAGTGAGCCCTTCTCCAGGGCTGGTGGGAGTTTAGTTGTGCATTGATGTTTCACAGAGCAACATGGCCCAACCTGGCCAAGGGCAAGTGTTCGGGGGTGTCAAGAAGAGGGCTCACTTTCTTTGGAAGAACAGTCTGTCTCTAGTTTGGCTCATTCCTACAATAGATTACATCAATTAAAAGTAATAAATTAAGGCCAGGTATGGTGGATCGCACCTGTAATCCCAGCTACTCAGGAGACATAAGTAGATGGATAGAGATCTGAGACTAGCCCTGGGCAAAAACACAAGACCATACCTGAAAAATAATTAAAGCAAAAAAAGGCTAGAGGTGTGGCTTAAGTGGTAAAGCACCTGCCTAGAAGCATGAGGCCCTGAGTTCAAAACCCAAGTACCACCACTCCCAAAAAAGTAATAAATATTCCTCAGTCTGGAGAACTCTCAACAATTTTAAGTTTAAAAAGCAAGAGTTACTGTACTCATGTATGAAATTACCACAAGGAAGTCCCTTGGACTATTGATGTGTACTGATAAAAAAGAGAAGAAGAAAGGAAGTGTTAGAAGAGACCTGAAGCGAATACTGCAAGACTATAACACTGATTCAATTTCAGTTCAGTTGGTAACCTGGTGGGGGTGGATTATTCTGTCCTTTTCTGCACAGTAAAAGAGAAAAGGCCTGAGACAAAATGGCCAGAGAATAGGCAACCCACATTAAAAACAGCATCACACAAGGGGAAGGGTGTGGCCAAATGTTGCAGGACTGGGTGCCTCTCTGGGGAAGCAGTTTGTCCCAACCAAGCGGGCAGTCACCCCAGGTGCAGGAGGGGAGGAAGATGTCCTGCTATGGGCCATTGATTAACCAACTTGGAGAAGCCTGGCTGTTCTTCTTCTGAGGAGGGTAAGAAAAACCAGTACAGGCAGTCACAAGGGATGGAGAGAAAGGGTGATGAGGGAGGAGGCAGCACCGGCTTGGGAAGAGGGGAGGAAGTAAGGCAGGGACCCGGTGAACAGGGAGCTGTCAGGCTTCCAGTCCCAAGGGCCTCCTGCCAGCAATGCCACCCAGCCAGGCTCCAGAGAGCAGAAAGAGACATCATGAAGTTGCATAGTTGTCATTTATTTATTTAAGTAAGTGTTGGTGGGGCCAGATGTGAGATTTTTCCAGCCTGCAGGCAGTTAAGCCTGGACTTTGGATCTCTACCCAGAGAGCCCAGCTCCGGGGAAGAGGTGGGGCACACTGGGGTGGGGTGCCGATATTCCCATCTAGCCCACTGCATATGTGTATCATCCCTTTGGAGGAAACTGCTGTGTTGGGGGCTGCCTGGGGTTTGGTGCTAAGGCCCACTCATCTCTCCCACTTCAGGACATCCTCAATGACCTCCTCTGCGGCGGCTTCCTCTTGGGCGGCCTAATCTTCGCTGTCCACATTCGACGCTCCATGCCCATGAGTTATTTTGTCGCTGTGGTAAGGCCTTCCCTGCTGGGCTGTGGATTTGCTCCGAATTTACCTCTTTTGAAGAACTGAATGTTGGGGTGTCTTCCTCTGTTTTAGGAAAGGGATGCTTTTCACAAAAATCTCAGGATCAAAGCAAAGTTTAAAAGTAAAGGTGGTAAATGTTTCCAGTGGAGAAGTCACTTAAAGAAAGATGGTGTCCAGGGAAGCAGCCCAAGTTAATAACTTCTTTTTTGGGGGATTGTGGGACAGGTACTGGGGTTTGAACTCAGGGCTTCCCACTTGCTGGGCACGCACTCTACCACTTGAGCCTCTCTGCCAGCCATTTTCTTGTGTTGGATATTTTCAAGATAGGCTCTGGAGGGCTGGCTTTGAACCTTGAGCCTCCTGATCTCTGCCTCCTGAGTAGCTAGGATTATAGGCGTGAGCCACAGGCGCAAGGGCAATGGCTTCCTTCTTGGAGCTGCTGAGTCTAAAGAAGAAGAGATGTGATGACTGGGCAGTGGGAATAGAGGAAGCCAAAGTGAGGGAGGGGCAAATTAAGAGGCCCTTGGGGTCCGCTAGCCGAAGGGAGAAGGGAATATGTTCTGCAGTCTCCACTTAGTAATGACAAACCAGGAAGGAATGAAAACCAAAGTAATGAAGATTCTTTGTTTTCCAGGTCCTTATGGGTGTGACTGCAACGCTTTCTTTTGTTGATGTGTGTTTTCAAAGAAAAGACTTACAAATCCAGCAGGCCAAAAGGCTTGCTCCCCCAGAAAAACCAGCTGGAAGAAGACCAAGGGTAAAGAAATGACTTGAAGGCAACTCCTGGTGTGGGCAAGGGCAGCATGTGTTACCAAAAACCATTTCCACTGTTTTCCTTGTCCATTTTCCAGAATGACTTTCTTTTCCACTTCAATAGCCATCTTTTCTTGGAAAAGAAAATTCTCTTTCAATGGATCTTACTGGCTTAAAGTTGATGTAAACATTATTTGGCTCATTTCACAGAAATTACTAGAAGATATGTTGCAGAGGGCCAGGCCAAAACTGGGCCTGGAATCCAGGGGTCTGTTGAGACATTTCACCGGCCATAGGGCACAGAGAGTTTGGGGGACCAGTGACACTGGTAGTTGTCAACACGATCAACCAAAGAGGCCAGAGAAAAATGAGAAACTGGGAAAGAAAAGGATGCATTTTGTTCACATATTTTTATTTTACATCTTTTTAAGCATACAAGCAATTGTTATGGTAAAAAGCAGTTTGTTTGGCATTCCTTGCTCTTACTTTGGAGTTTAACATTGATCTTCATTTGAAGCTCTCTAAAGAGGAGGCCTGAAGGCAGTAGTATCTCCTTAGAGCCAAGTCAGGCTGGCAAAGGGGGCTGAGCAGGGTGGGCACAGGGGAGCCTGAGCAGGGTGGGCACAGGGGAGCCTGGATTGGTTTCCTTAGGTCTAGTCAACTGGCCCTCTGGGATCCAGAGTGTCTTCATCCAATGAGGAAAGGAGCATAAGCCCCAAGTCAGACTTCTCTGGGCCCCAGAGCCATCATCCCCCAACAAAGGCTTCCCAGACCCCTCCACCAGGACCCCTCTCACCCTAGATAGTCCCACCATCCTGGCAGGAGAAGAGTCATTCTCGTGAGGGAAAAGAGAGGCTCCAAACAAATGCTGAGGAAGGAAGTCTGCAAGGGCAAGCCTGGAGCCTTGAGCCCAGCCAGACAGGCTGAGAGGGTGGGTTGGGCCTTTGTCAGGAGAATCCCTGAAGGGACAGGGGCCACGTGTTCCAGAAGAAGACCACACAGTTGGCGGCTGCTGCAGAGTGTGAGTCGGAAGGAGGCTGATGCTTGTGCTTGGGAGGAGCGGGGACCAGTAGCCAGGCAATATCCAGTGTGAACACCTAGATCTATAGAGACTCAGCCTCACTCCTCCACCTCCCAGGTCCACTGCTCCCTCTCTGCTTTACACCACCCCCTGCAGGTAAGCAGTGTGAAAGCAATTGGAGGAAGTTGCTCACACTACCCTGCAATGTGATCCAGAATTTCTGTCCTGCATATTTGGCCAAGAAGAATGGGAAATAAGAATGTTCCTCATAACCAAAACACTAGAAAGAGCCAATGTTCAAAGGAATTGTGCTACACTAAAAATGCAGTATACTACTCAGCAGTATAAAGAATGAACAACTCATACAATAATGCAGAGCAAAAGAAGGCAAATACAAAAGAGCATGACACTGGATTGTGTGTGTGTGTGTGTGTGTGTGTGTGTGTGTGTGTGTGTGTGTGTGACAGAGAGAGGGGAGAGAGAGACTGGGGCTTGAATTCAGGGTTTCCCACTTGCAAAGCAGTGAGCCACACCTCCAGACCATTTTGCTCTGATTATTTTGGAGATTGGGGGAGGGCTCTTAAAACTTTGCCTGAATTGGTCTGGAACAGTTATCCTCCAGTCTCAGTCTTCCAAGTAACTACGATTATAACACTGCTCCCAGTTCCACTTCCATTTGCAAGATGTTTAAGAAACATCAAAATATAGACTGAAAGAAATGGAAAGGAAAAAAAAAGAAATGGAGTAGCTGCCTGAGGAATGAAGGGTGGGGAACTTTGGGAAGAACTGGAAATGTTTTATATCTTCATTGGAATAGCTAGTTACAAAGGGATACACATCTGTCAACACACTCAACTGTATATTTAACACCTATGCATTTCATTGGCTATGCCTTTTAACTAAAAATGTCAGCTAAATGACTGTGATCAGAAACAATGAAAGGAAGAACTAGGGGCATGGCTCACGAGGAGGAGCGCCTACCTAGTAAACACAAGGCCCTGCCTTCCAACCCTAGTACCACTAAAGTAGTTCTGTGACTAACCAATGGAAGAAAAGGTGGCTCTGCCTCTCCTCAGTCTGTCCACTTCTCTCCCCCCATGGTGGAGACCACAGTGGTGGCTCTCTGAAGCAGGCCACCAAGCCCACAGAGAAATCAGTCCCCTGAAGTTGGATTGGTGCTAGAGCTGAACATGACTCAAGGCAGTGTCTGTCATACTAAGAAGAAGATGACCCCTGGGCAAGAACCCCGTCAGAGAAACACTAATCTTGATGCATTATTTATAGGGAAACAATTCAAATGAATAAAGATTTCTCATCAGAAACCATGGAACCCAAAAGGAAACAGCACATTTTCCAGGTGTTGAAAGAAAATGACAACCCAGAATTCTATATCCAGTGAAAATATCCATCAGTGAAGGCATAATGAAAACATTGTCAAAGGGAACTAAAAGTGCTGCCACAGATCTGCTTCCTTTGGAAGTTCTTTAAACAGGCAGGAAATTATTTCAGAGGGAAACATGGAACTTCAAGGATGAAAGAAAACCAACAAACTGTAAATGGGTAAATTGAATGCTCTCCTTGAGTTCTTGAAAGCATGTTTAATTACAGGCTCTGAGTCCAATCCCCAGTACCACACACACAAAAAAAGTTTGAAAGCAAAAATTGTTGATGTTTGAAAACAAAAATTGTAACATTTGCCCAACATAATATACTCCTGTAATCCTAGAACTCAGGAGGCTGAGACAGGAGAACCAAAAGTTAAAGGCCAGCCTGTACTATATAGCAAGACCCTGTCTCAAAAAATAACATCCAATGGGATTTTCAATGTATGTAAGTATATATGACAACTACAACATAAGGAGGGAGAGTAAAGGAACCTATATGACAGTCATGTTTCTACATTGCATTGGGAGTAGTAATATTCTAAGTAGACTGTGACAACAGCCTACTTAGCACATATATAGTAATTCCTATGCAAAACACTAACAAATTATACAAAGAAGGTTGGAGGTGTAGTTCAGTGGTAGAATGCTTGCCTGGCATGGACAAGGCCCAGGGTTTGATCCCCTGCCAAAAGGAAGGAAGGAGGAAGGAAGGAAGAAAGGAAGGAAGATTATACAAGAAACTGTGTAAAGCTCAGTAGAGAAATTACAATGGAATGCTAAAAAAACCCTCAAATACCCCAAAGGAAGATGGAAAAAGAGAAATAGAGGAACAAAAAACAGACTGGAAAAATAAGTTTTAAAATTGTAAATCCAAATCTAAATATACAAATAACTGCATTAAATATAAATGGTATAAATGCATCAATTAAAACACATGGATTGTTAGAATGGTTTTCTTTTCTTTTTTGGCAGTACTGGAGTTTGAACTTGGGGCCTCATGCTTGCTAGGGAGGTGCCATATCGCTCGAGCCACTCCACAGCAGAATGTTTTTTCTTAATAACCCAACTGTATGCTGTCTGCTGAAAACTCTCCTAACTACAATGTTGTAGGTAGATTAAAAATAAAACAATGGAAAGATATATTCTATATACCAATAAAGAGAAAAGTGGAGTAGCTATATTAATATCAAAGTGTAAAGCAAAGAAAATCACCAGAGATAAAGGCATATTACACAATCATAAAGCTGCCAACTCATCCTATGAAAACATAACTCCAATTAGGACACTGACACTTAGAATTAAATGTTAAATCCTGACAACAAAGCCACCAAAATGCATAAAACAAAAACAGAACTGAAAAGAAAAATGGAAAAATTCACAATTATTGGAGACTCCTGTATTTCCTCAGTAATTGGTAGAACAGGTATACAGACAATCAGCGAGGGTATAGGAGAGTTCAACACCACCACTAGTCAATTGGATCTAACATTTTGGTGGCACTGGGGCTTGAACTCAAGTCCTTGCTCTTGGTAGGCAGGTGCTCTACCACTTGAGCCACACCCTCAGCCAACTGAATCTAATTGTCACTGATAGAAAAGTTCATTTGACAAACACATTTTCTTTTCAAGAACGCATAGAGCATATAGAATGAACCATATCCTAGAGGATAAACAAACCTTCATACATTTAAAAGAGGACTGGAAGTGGGGGTGTGGCTCAAGTGGAAGAGCACCTGCCTAGCAAATGTGAATCCCTGAGTTCAAACCCCAGTACCACCAAAAAAAAATTTTTTTTAAAGAATTGAAATCATACAAAGCATATTCTCTCACCATAATGGGAGTGAAGTGGAAATTAGTAACAGAATGATAACTGGAAAATCTCTAAATGTTTAGAAATCAAGTGACATACTTCCACATAATCTGTGGGTCAAAGAGAAAGTTAAGGAGGAGAGAAAGTTTAGCTGGAGGGGTAGCTCCAGTGGTAGACCATCTTCCCAGCAAGTGTGAGGCCCCAAGTTCAAGCCCCAGTATCACCAAAAAAAAAAAAAAAAGTATGTCAAAATAACTTAAGCAAACAAAAATGAAAACACAACATATAAAAATTCATGAGCTGAAACTAGTATTTAGAGAATATTTGTAGCATTAAGTATTTATATTAAGAAAGTAAAAGCAAGATATTCAAGATAAAATGTTAACCAAAAGAAAGTAGGGGTGGTGAAATTAATATAAAATGAAATTGAATTCCAAGCTTAAAAAGTCAACAGGCAAAAGGAAGATATTTTATTAAGCTGATAATTAATGAAACCCACTATATGGCCAGCTCTATTCTAAGATATTTTTATACTAAGTCATTTTACCCCTACAGTAATGATATGAGTTAGATGGTATTTTATTCCATTTTGTGGACCAAGAAACTGAGAACTGAGAAGTTAAGACAGTGGTATAACCTAGATTTGAACTCAGGGTTTGTGCTCTTAGTTGCTACACTGTACTGAATAAAAGATATGGTAATTTATATTCATTTTACATCATAGCTTCGAAAATACCCAACACCCAATTCAAAAAGCAAGGACAAAAGCAATAAATGTAAAATGTTGGTGAGAAGCTTTAA